TTTTTTTATTATGATTTAGATTGGTGACGAAATTTTATTCTTGTCTCCAAAAATGGTACATTTGGAGACGAAATATGATTTTCGTCATTAAAAGATACGTATTTCGTGACAAAAAAAAATTTCGTCATTAGTTTTCGTGTCTAAAGATTATTTTTGTTGTAGTGACATAAGGATAAACAACTGAACTTCGAGCATAGGAGGGAAACTCTAAAGGGTCAGTGAACTCGACAAAATGGTGATTGATTCGCTCCCTTAAATCAGGAGTCTCAGGTACTGACCAGTTTGTCCAGTCAGAACTTCCAGTAGAGCCAGAAGAGGAAGCAGCTGCAGTTTTATCCCATACAGAAATTTGCGAAGAAGAGTTGTTCAAATCCGTATTTGTAATTTTACGAATTAGAGGTTTGAGAGCAAATTGTTCGAACTGTAAAGGTAGGTCAGAAGGGAAAATTCTTATGTCTTTGATTTTAGCCTTTTGAATCAAAGGATTAAGGGCAATGTGTTCGTAATCCAAAGGTCGGTAATCTGCAAAGGCGTCCATGACCTGAATATAGAAGGGTGGGTAAAGGTGGCTAATAAATGCATGCTTTCGACGAGGAATAGCATCGTCATATGACTCTTCGTATGCCTCATCATTGGAAGAAAGAATTAATTTGGCCATGAAATGTATCAGTCTGTTCGAATAATAAGACAGTGAAAGTGCTTAAGGATCAAGATGGGAGTATTAATACAGATGGTGTGTGACAGTTGCATTTCTGGGAAGATGCAAAACCCATGCACGTTCTAAGACGTGGGAAAAGGGACTCTGATCCACTAATATCACCAAGTCTTGGGTATATTAGTGCGGGGGGTAATGTTGGCCACACATTTTGTACTAAGCCAGTAGCAATCCAACGCGTGGCAAAGTGAGGGTAATATGGGAAGACCAGGTAGGTCTTCGATCCTGACCATACACGTGGCAATTAATATTGATTGTTATAAGATCTGAGTAGTAGCAGATCAACAAAGAGACGTATAGTGACGTGGCTTCAACGGTTGCTCACATTTCAAATTCAAATATAAGGGGGAAGCCTAACTGCAAGTGAAGGCGTAGTGGGACTACTTATAAGGTAGCATGATCAGCAACTACGGAGGAGCAGTTCGACGGTTTGAAGTACAATTCGATGGTTATCTTCGGAGAGTATAAATAGGAGGAAGGACTTCAAAGAAGGGGACGGAGAAAAATCTAAAGAATCACTTTACATATTCTAGTGTTATTTCCTGTCTTTTATATTCCTGTATTTTTAGTTTTTGCGCTGCACTTCATTTGTAGGAGTAGTTGTCAAGTACATTGCCGCTGTAATTCTCTACGGAACTGAGATCATTGTAAGTTCCTTTTATACTAATGAAATACTCCAGTTTAGTTAACTGTTCTTATGTTCAGATTTTCTGAAGTTTAATTACCAGAAAGCCACTAGTAAAAGTCCTCTTTATTGAGGCCGAAAGAACCATAACACAATCGTCTTAATAATTGTTTGGCAATTCTGTAAGGACTGATTGATCCTTGTTGGCACGCTCATAATTACGAAAGTAACCTTCGAAAGCCAAAAAAGCCAACAAATTGACTCATAAGACTTTTGAGAAAGCACTATAACATATAAGAATTTTAGAGATTAAATTTTTTTATTTTTAAAAGTATAAATTTTGTTACAAAAAATATTTAGTAACTAATTTTAGTTGTCGCAAAGACAGTCATTAAAAGGTAGTCTCAAAAAGGCAAATAAGTAGCTTTTAGAATAAAATTTTGAAAATGTCACTTATAAATGTACTTTTAGGGACAAAATAACTTGGTTTCAAAAAGGTTTATTTCTTGAGACAAAACCTTTGGTCCCAAAAGATTAATAATTCATCACTAAATGTATAATTTTGTCGCAAAAAATAAAATAATAACATTTTTTGTAACAAAAATATTTTGTCTCTAAAAATTGTTTTTGTCCTTAAATTTTTGTTTCTAAAACCTTAATTTCTTATAATGAAACTTAAATTGAATGAAATTACGAGTTTGATATGTATTTCGTTTATTTTTTCGAATGAAGAGTGAACGATTGTTGAAATTTTTTCAAGTGAAATTAATGATTAAACAATGTATAATTCTTTTGTTAAGGTTGTTTTTTATTTTATTTTATTGAATCTGAATAATGGTGTTTTGTTTTCCATTAGATTAACATTTCTTTGATTTGTTCTGGTAATATATGGCTTTGATGCCCTGTTTTAAAGTAACAATAAAATTTTAGTTTGGTTTGTTATGATAATATGTAATCTATCTTTTATTGTTGATGCTCTATTTTAAATCAGTAGTAAAATTTTACTTTATTAACATTATCATTTCATTGTTTTGATAAATTTTTTAATTAATATTTGGGTAAATTACAAATAAATCCCTTGAGGTTTAATTAAAATACGAATCACTCCCTATAGTTTTGAAAATTACATTCCACCCCTTTAAGGTTTCTAATTTCATAACAAATCGCCTCTTTTATTAATAAATTATCAAGTCAATTAACAGTTTTTAATGATATTAGAAATATGTTTCAATTAATAATTTAGATAATTTTATTATTATATAGGAGAGCAATTATGAATTTTATTTTTTTAGTTAATTCTGTTAAATAAAAAATTCTAACAAGGGAGTATTTGTAATTTTTCAAACCGCAGGGAACAATCTGTACTTTAAGCAAATCTCAGGAGGTGTATTTGTAATTTACTCTTAATATTTCTTCTAGTGGCGGTTACAGTTATAATGACTACAATGTTTAGTAATGGTGATGGTATTTTACTACTCAAATATTAAAATTTTAAAACAAAATTTTATTGTCAACATAAATTTCAAAAGTAGAATTTTTATTGTATAGAATTTCATGGCCAAGATGAATCGTATTTGATAGATCTTGACGAGAGAATTTTAAAAATATTAATTTTATTAAAAAATAATATTTAAATTAAAAATTATATTCTTTTAAAGTTTGAAATATAAAATTATTTACTAAGAACATTTAGATAATAGTGATTTATGTTGTCTTTCTCAAGTTGAAATTTATATGTTTGTATGAAATTTTGCTATAAAAGAATTTTGACCAAATTTTTCCTATCAAATCGCATCCTGCTCGAATGTTTGAACTTGTCAATTGCCAAATTCATTTTCTCCTTTGCTTAGCGTGTGGGGGCCAAGAAAATCTCCATTGTAAAATTAATCAAAGATTGGATCAATTCAGTATAATGGTGTTAAAGAAGTTGAAGGAGCGAAAGAGAAAAAAAGTCTCTGTGTAATAAATTATGTAAAATCAATGTACATGTCTCTTTTATATAGGAGGAAAAAGACAAAGTAAGAAAGTCCTAAACTAAGGCTATATTAAGCCTAGGATACAGCTGGACATAGCTATCTATATATATCTAAACATATCTACCTACATAAGTATCTATATATATATATATTAACAACCCCTCTCAAATTCAAGGAGGATAAATATCAATCAACTTGAGTTTGGAAACAATTTTAATGAAGCGGCCAGGAGGATGGGCTTTGGTGAAGATATCAACAGGTTGATCAACAGAAGAGATCGGATAGAGATGAACAGTACCATGAGTGACATGTTAACGAATAAAACGGCAGTCAATCTTAATGTGTTTGGTGCGATCATGAAAAACATCATTGTGAACAATCTGAATAGCACTCTGATTGTCACATGCTATTCAGATTGTTCACAATAGAAGTCATTAGCACCAGAGGGGATAGCATCCATATCAACAAGAAGCCAACGAAACCAGAAAAGCTCCTAACTAGTATCAGCAAGAGCACAATATTCGGCTTCTGTACTTGAATGAGCAGTAAGAGATTGTTTCTTGCTGCGCTAAGAAATAAGAGAATCACCTAAGAAGAAGGAGAAACCTATAGTAGTGCGATGATCAGTAGGATTTCCAGCCCAATCAGCATCGGAGAAGGCACGAAGCTGAAGAGAGTAATGGGCGAAATAATGAAGACCATGAAACAAGATGTCTTTAAGATAACGAAGGATACGAACTAAAGCATCATAATGAGGGGTATGGGGAGTCGACATATACTGGCTGACAATATGGACAGCATAGGAAATGTAGGACAAGTAACAGTGAGACAGACAAGGTTGCCAACCAGCTGCCGATATAGAGTAGCATCAGAGAGTAGAGTGTCATCAAGAGGAGTAAGATGAGTTTGAGTCTCCAGTGGAGTGGTGGTAGTCTTTCAATCTGTAAGACCAACACGAACGAGAAGATCGGAGGTATACTTAGCCTGAGAGAGAAACGAACCCATGGAATCATGGGAGATTTTAAAACCCAAGAAATAGCTGAGAGGACCAAGGGTTTTCATCTCGAAATGATGTCTAAGAAACTGTTTGAGGCGAAGAATACCATCCACATCATCACCAGTGATAATCCTATCATCTACATAAAGCAGAAGCATGGTGGTCCCTAGAGCAGGTTTCCTCACAAAAAGAGTAGTATCATAAGAACTGGAGGTGAAACCACAATCATGAATAGTAGAGCTAAACTTGGCAAACCAAGCTCTCGGGGCTTGCTTAAGACCATATAGTGCATGCTGAAGTTTGCATACCTTATGAGGTGGATAAGTAGACTCAATGAGAGGTTGCATGTAGACCTTCTCTAGAAGATCACCATTAAGGAATGCATTTTTCACGTCCATTTGATAAAGATCCCATTAACGGGTGGCAGCAACAGCAATCAAGCTGCAAACAGAGGTGAGACAAACAACAAGAGCAAAGGTCTCCTCATAATCAATACCATATTCCTGGTTGAAGCCTTTGGCAACAAAGCGGGCTTTGTGTCTCTCAATAAAGCCATCAGAGTGTGTCTTGATTTTGTACACCCATTTGCAGCCAATGGCAGACTTTCCAGGAGGAAGATCAACAACGTCCTAAGTATGAGTTTTGTCTAAAGCCTGTAATTCATTAGTCATAGCATGCTACCAGAGGATTAGAGCGAGCCTCACAATAGAAGGTAGGTTCATGAGTAGAAAAAGTAGTGGAACCAACAATATAATCACGAGGACGAGTAGAAGGTTGTGCTACCCGGTGTGGTTGAGCAGAGGGTGGAAGAGCCAGAGGGCATGAGAGAGACTCAACAGGAGGTGAGGATCCTGAGGGAGCGAGAGCAGACCATCAGAGCGAGTAGACTCACGGGAAAGACCAGTAGGCAAGGATATCTTAAAAGGTGCAGGCAGGGGCCCTGTATCAATCTCATCAGAAAATAGATATGTGGAAGGGTTAGTAAAAAAGATAGAGAGGGTGAAGGAGTGGATAAGCGTAATTGTGAGAGGGAGAAAAACATAGAGAGGGTAAAGGAGTGGATAGGCAGAATTAGGAGAGGGAGAAAAACATTTTGTGTCCCCAAAAAACCATATGAAGAGAGATATGGAGTCGCTGGGAGATAGGATCCTTACAACGATACCCTTTATGTTTAATACATACCCCAAGAAGCAACAAAGACGTGAATGAGGTTCAAGTTTTTTGT